TTGATTGCATGGATTCTGCGGCGATGTACAAGCACTTGTTCAATGCAAAGTGTTGCCTAAGGTTCCAAGAGCTGTAGGCAGCACCTCAACGGTTTGTTTGCTTTGATTTGCTTGTCCTTCCTACACCAACAAGAATATTTGTTACCTGGACGCGGCTTTGTAGACTATTTGAAACATTCTATCTTCCGTAGCAACACCATGTTTGTTCAGCTACACGCATCAATCATCCATCGATGGTTGGAAGATCATTGGAATCAATTTGTGTTCCCTGATATTCCAACCATCGATATTCCATGATATGTCTTCCAAAAAATATATATACCAAGACCCTCCAACAGGCTGTTTTGGGGCCCTAACAGGTGGTTTTTGGGCACCTGTTGCCACCAGGAAACACCTGTTGGAGGGTCCATATATATATACCAAATATATATATATATAGGCTTTTGTCAATATATTTGTGTTCCTTGCTGAAGTCGGCGGAATGATAGGCCCTTGTAGACGAAAACACGAGCTGCTCGGATCCTTGGCTAGGAGCGAGCTGCCGCGTCTCGCAGGTACTAGCGAAAGAGACGAGCGAAAAGATGTCCACGGAAATACCATCAAGAAGGCGCTCAAGGGAGCTCGAGGGAGGGAGAGCTCCATGGGGTGCTGGCGTCGGTGTCCTGCTTAAAACAGGGTCGAGGTCCTCGGTAGACCTGTTTGTTTCTCGGAAAACAGAGATCTCGACCTCCAAAACCCCTCATCATCACGTGCACCTAAGGTCTTTGTGCTTTGTTGGTTCTTCGTCCCTGGGGAGTCCCGGCAGAGAGACTGCAGGCAGCAGATTTCCTGAGACCAAAACAACATGCAGGATTCCCCTGCTGCATGGTTGATGACAGGGGGCAGATTTTGGGACACCCAGTTGAGGTTGGATCCCCGGATCCCTCACTTGGTGGTTTGTTCCAAGAAGAAGCTTGCGCTTTTTACAACATCCGAAGATTCACCCCGCTTTGACCAGCGGATTCCGTTGAACACCTTGGGTATCGTTGCCAAAGAGCGGCGCGTTCGCTGCGCGTGACCGGTTTCGGTTCGGTCGTTCCGGTTCGACTGGTGGGTGTACAAACGCACTGGCGCCAATCATGTACTCTTCACATAAGACTTGGACCAATCAATGCAGTATACTTACAATATGTGTGTGGTTGGTGAGACATGTTGATTTGTTTTCTGAGGGATGTCATAGGGTTTGATATCCACAAAAGATCTATAATCGAGCGTTTATTTACCAGAAGTGTCTTTTTCCCATAAGGATTATAAGGGATGCCCACTTTCGCATCTTCTTTCGACTCAAAAGCACCCAACTCGCTGGATGGGTCGACGTAGACTCCCTGCCCAGTCCGGTTGCTTTCCCCAACGCCAAATCCCACAGGGTGCAGTAGGGTCAGGTGCCCTATAGTGGCAGGCCAGCTCCAGGAGTTCCGGACTCAAGTCCACGGCCCGAGCTTCCGACTCGGCTCGTGACCCAAGACGAACCGATCAGGGACTGACGAACCGATCGGCCTGGAGTGCCTTGAGGGTCAAGTCAGAGACTCCGAGGTCACGAACCCAAAAACAATGACAGTGACATGCCGCGACCATTTGTTGGAACCTCCAGCATCATCCCTGCCAGGGAGATAAGAAGAATTATAGGTGCGGCACGCCAGATCGGCTCGCCGAGATCGACTCTGCCTTTCTCGCGATGGTATACGACATCTGCCTTGGATGTTGTGGATGATGTATGTGGTATCATTGATCATTCCCAAATACTCCATGTATGGCATATTTACCTACATTGCCCTCTGAAATCACCCCAATGTAGGTAAATATGCCATACATGGAGTGTCTGGGATTGTGTGGTTGGTTTTTTTTCCTATAAGACTTCCGTGTTCCAACCCGAATTCTTGATCCGCCTAGTACGTATATTCAATCTATTTTCATCGATGGAGGAAGGGGGGTCGGTCGACCCTACTGTCGACTGCCCGATCTACCCATTTGGGGTGTCACTGTGTTCGCTTCGTCCCAACAGAACAGGGAAGACTCTCAGAATCACCAAACTGTGAGCATCGTTTGGTCGGTTTTGGTACAGTGTGGGGCAGGCAGACCACCATTATATAATATGTCTCACGGGCGGCCCATGGTGGTTTTCCCCAAAAGGTCGTTGAAAAAAGATCCCTCTTCCCTTTCAAGGATCTCTTGGGGTGTGGTTGGGCCATCGAACCTCTGAAGCAGTAAGTGAACTGGGCTATTCAGTGGTTTGTGCCCTTTCTTTCCTCCGCACCGCTGAAGACTTCACCAAATAATGATCCTTGATGCTGGCACCCGCAAGAGTCGTGCATCTATTCTTCGATGTGTTTTAGGATGTGTTGTTGATTGTTTCCAAGCTTTGTTGGCATGTTGGCATGGGTGATTTGGGAGGCTGTTGTGTTCGGCCCTGTGCCGAGATGTTGAAAGAAGGTATGAACAAAGGACCTGCAATGACATGAAACGCCCAACCTAGTGGTTGAGGCCCAGCGGCAGGCCCTCCTGTTCAGACAAGACCAACCTCACGAAGTGTCTTTGGTGCTGGGGGAACAACTGACAGACAGTGGTTGTGATTTCCAGAGCGGGTTCAAAAGCTGGTTTATGCCGTCAATCAGGAAGCGGAAGCAGGAAGTTGTGATACGTGATAAGGGAGTTGTTCAGCGAATCTCCAGGAATCTCGCATATGTTTCCCCCCGACACACACACACACACTCCACTCACTATTTTGGACTCCCCTGAATGGGTTGACAGCCCAGAATCATTGATCATCATGTACATATTATAGATGGTTTTACGCCGCAAGCACATCGAATTTCTTCCCGAATATTAAAGAGTGAAGGCCAGTGGATCTTATCTTAAAGAATTTGTTTGATGTCCAACATTCACAAAAAAAGAATACCAGTGGTACCATAGAGTAACTCGAAAAGAGGTGTTTCTGCCTTCTTACTCTCTCCAGAACTTACGAGGAAGTAGTTTTCCTATCATATTCCTCGTTTGGCATTTTACTGGAGGGTCTGCATGTCATATTTTTGTGTTGGGAATGACTTCTTCCTCGTAAGTTTGACATGCTAAACTTGCTAGACTTGCTCGACTTCCTCGTTTGTCAGTGCAAAAACTAGAATGTCCAGAAGCATCTAGTAAACAAAGAAGCCTACCATTTTTTTGTGATAGTTTGGTAAACTTCCTCGTTAAACAGGATCAAGAGAGACAGAGAGAGAGAGAGAGGGGTTCTTTAAATTCCTCGTTAGACTTGCACTTGAGGGCTTCGAGAGCTTCTTCGTTTGTTCTAATCAAAGCAGGTATCTGTGAATTCACGCCCAGCCATTTGGTTTACCAGGAAGTGTTTTAAAGCAAGTCCCAATCAACCTAACCAGGAAGTCACTTTGCAGCCTAACCAAGAAGTTGTGATTTTGCTTGTATTCTTCCTTGTTAGCTCCCAACCTATGAAAATGCAAAGCAACCCTGGCTTACCTGGAAGTGTATCTCCCTGGTCATTTTCCAGCAATCCCCGGGGATGCAGGGGCCCTCGGCTTCCTCGGTAGTGAGCATTGCATTTTCTGGCCTTCCTCGTTTGCTGATTGGGCTTACCTGTTTGTGGTCTATTCCCAGGGGGATTTACATGGTCACCAACTTCCTCGTAAACAGCGTCCTCGCCGAGATTTGCTTCCTCGTAAGTTCTGAGGAGTGTAGTTCCCTTGTGGTTTCCCTTCTTCGTTCGATCTTCACACTTCCGCCCGCGGTTCTTCGACGCAGGTGCAGTTTTAGAGACGAGGTGGAAGAAGAACCGGTGCACGACATTAAAGAAGTGCAGCTCCTCGGTGATAAAGATGGCCCGCAAAGAGAGGTTTTGGATCCAGCCACCCAAATTCCCGCTAATAAACACCAGTCAGGTTTCTTCGGAGTCGTAGGGATCTATCTCCGACCCGATCAAGAAGCAGGCATCGCTTTTGAAATGTGCTACTCTGGAACTGGGGGAGGCATCTAAGCAGGCTTTGCTTGCAAAAGATGCTCGGTGATCATCGCAGTCTCCCACTTTTGTATACTTTTTGTACCATGACGCTTCTTTTCACCAGGATTAGAGGCGATTGGTGTGGCCCATTGACCTCTTCATGTCCTGTTTTGGTGGCAGTCTTCAGGAGGGGAAACTGGCCTCGGACGTCGGGATGACTTGGTCCAAAAACGTCGGGATCCTCCTGTTTTTGGGTCGGTCGGACACTCCATCCAGGAGACTGTGACCTCGGGGGTCCGACGCCGTCCGATTCGGCTTCAGGTCCTACAAACAGCAGCTCCCGCCATGTTTGCTTTCTTTTGCCAGCAGTCACAAAGGGGTGCTTAATGGAGGTTAGGAGTGCCTATTATCCACTCACTTAGGGACTAAACACCACCCGTTTGTGACTCCTGGTGGTTTGTTTTACTTTTTTGGGGGGTTTTGGGGGGGTCGGTGAACGTTTGTGTTCTTGCACGGAGTTTGGGGAACGGAGGTTTTGCAGTTTCGGACCCCCTTTTTTCAACCAGTCAGTGGATAACCTTAAGGCTAAGGTTTTGGGTTCAGGTTTTCGGGGGATTGGTTTTCAACACTGCGGACACATGTCAGCATCTATTTCCCAGAAGCAAAAACAGCTCGTCCAGTCGGTCGGTCCAACCCGCTGGTTCGCCTCGGCAGGAAGCCCAGCCCAGGGCTCAAGACATGTTGTAATTAGCCGCAGCCCATGAAACAATTGGTTCGCCTCCCGACAGAAGATGACTCATGAAGTGGAAAGCTCGACAGGAAGCAGGCTCCGGAGACACCGGAGCAGATACTCGCAGGTCCGGACCGACCCTTTTGGTACGAAGATCCACGGCATCTGTGACATCTGTGTCGTCATCCAATCCGTAGCGCATGTGAAACAAACCCTATAGGGCTCCAGTCGTACCTCGGTGTTTGGACCCTGGCACCCACTCCAGTCCCACCGAACCGAAACGAAGTCACTTCGTGTTCGAACTCGGCGAAAGAGACCTGCCCTCCGGCATCCCCGTGCCTCACCCGGTCCATCGAGACGCACGCCACTCGGCCATGCGCCCGTTGCTCTCGGCGTGGACCCGTGCGACCTGGCGCGGGGGCGGCGTCCGCGCGCGGGGTGCCGTGGCGGGCGGTGCTCGGCATGTGCATCAGATCGCACGAGAGGGCTTCGCGACCTCAGAGGCATATGAGCCATGGAAGTATTTGATTCGCGACCTCGAGGGGTGGTGGAGTTCTTGGCATGGGACATGAATCGAGGAGTTGCGCTTTTAAGTTTGTTTTTTTTGTTGGGACGAGCAACACATCGAACATTCACTTGTTTCTGAGACTGACAATCTTGCATGTTCAGGCAAGACTAGTTCTTAATTGTCCGTGGACATGTTATTTGAGAAGCCACTAAGTCACCTGGTGTTTGAGAAAAAGGTTGGATTTTGAGAAAAAGGTTGTGCACGAAAAACCAAGAGAAATATATATAATCTTACACGTAATTGCACCCATCTCACCGGTTCGGGAATATTGCATGGGGGCGTGTCCATTTGCGCTCGAACACAGCGACATACGGTACCTACGCTACCGACGCTCTAACGCCTGGCGGCGTCCCCAGGAACGTGGACGCCCCTCCTACCCTCCGTGTGCGCTACAACTTCTGGATCACCTGCTACCCAGTGGCCCACTGGAGCTATTAGACCTGGGCGCGGGCACTGAGAAGTGGACCATGGAGCTGTTGTCACTTGGACTCGCAGTTTGGTCACCAGTGGAGCATTTGGGCAAGGACGACCTGAAAGAACAGTCGGCTGCCAAAGGGGATGTGAATACAAAGCTTCTGGGGAGCTTATCGACCACAAAGCTTCTGGGATAGCGCATGCATGATAGTGTAACGGAAGGGTGAGGGGAGTGGAAAAAAGAAACACAAACACCATCTGACCGTCTGACCTTCCTTGGTTTCTTGAATATGTGTCCCGGTTCTTCGTCTCGGTTCTTCGCTTGATCTCCTGGCTGCTTTGGACACGGAACCACGAGAGTCGCGGGTCCTGGCCGCCAGGTGTTTTCCTTGGACCTTAAGGGTTCTCCTCTTGATTCATAGACCCCCCCACTTGAACTTGAACATCCTCTTCAAAGGGAGGGCTTATGGTCCTCAAGAGTCTACCTTACTTGGCGAGGTCCTTCAGAGAGAAGAGAATCAATCCTCGCCCAGGAAGTACCTCCACACTTCCACCGCTGAGGCGCTTCAGCGACGCGGAGCGACGACGCGGAGCGACCAGGTTTTGGGGGGTTCCCCTTTCGGAAAAGGCATGAAACGATGGCCTTGACTTGACCTAAAAACGCCGTGTTGTTTGGCGTTATACCATGTTATACCCATGGAAACTGCCAGGATTTATCTATATACTGAGAGTCGGTAAGGAGTTTCTCCGAATGTTTTGGAGGCCAGTTGTTGAGGACTTTGATGAGCTTGACTGGTTCATGGACAGAAAGGAACCAAATAACTGAAGGCACTAGGGAAAAGAACATGTGTCCATCAATAACCCTAAAGTTTACGCCACTTGCGGTCTACAGCGGATCGGATTGACACGTCCATTTTACCTGGCAGGTACAGCACGGGCAGATTTCCACACCCGTTTATAAATTGATAATAGATACCCGTGACCATTTCCTCTATAAAATGAGGGGAGTCCTCGTGTCTTGTAAAACGTTTCATGATCCCCCCCTAGAGGGAGGACAGCCCTGGATATCATAGAGAATTGCAAGGGTTTTGAGTTTTGCGACTTTCACATGAAAGGAAATTGCTCCCCGGCCACTGAGATGTTGTGTTCCAGATGTGGGAACATCAAGGTGAATCACCCCAAGCCACCCAAGCCCTGGTCATGTCTACAGAATTGGTTTTCTGACTTCCACAACTCAAGCAAAACGGTTTTGCTCCACTATGCTCGCTACAAATCTTCCCCACACCTCCCTCTATAAAATGGGGAGGTTGACCTTCTTGGCCAAGATTATTTTCGTTTTCAACCAACAGCCCACTCTACCCCACTCTCCCTCTATAGAATGGTGGGGCTGACCCTCGCCAGCAATAGTAATTTGATGTGAATTGGTCATTTTGGTGAGCTCACTATCCAGCATTATTGTTTGTAGATGGTAGACACCTTTGGAGCTATACCATGGATAGCGGCTCCCTATGCCTCAGTCTCTGGTACAGCACCACGGAACACCGGGCCGCCGACGCAGAGATCACCTCGGTCAGGTGGTGATCCACGCGGTCGAGCCCAGCGACGGCTTCCGCCAGCGGCTCCAGCAGAACCTCTCCACGCGCGGCCGCGCGGCAGCGGAGCGCCCTCCGAACCTGCGCGTGGAGGTGTGCGAAGGAGATGCCCAGAGCTTACAGAGCTTCGGGGCCAAGCGGATGGTGGCTTGGTGTGGATGTTGAGGAGTAGTGGGATGAGGGTGTCTTTTTGTGTGCAACAAGAGGGCAACAAAGATAAAGATGAGTGGGAGAAGAGTTGGTGTGGAAGGTGAAATAGGCAACCCTCCAAACACTCTCCATATACATATAATAATGGTTGTTAGTGATGTATGATACTGGTAGACTCCCAAAGACTCGTTCTTTTAGCAGCTATCAGCTACTGGTTTACCTCCGAGTTTGACCGAGGCTTTGCTCCCAAGAGTTTGTCTTGTCTGGGGTAGCGCCGGTGCCACAGTACTCCCAGGCTCCCAAGACTCTCCTGACCCGGGGCGCTGAGGACGGGGTCTTTGTCGCAACGGCCTTCCATTGGTTTGCCACACCAGAGGCCGGCCAGGGGCGTTGCGGATCCGTTCCGTGTCCGACACTGGAGAATCTCATGAATGAGACATGTGCCCTTCTTTTGGGGGGGTAAGGGTCGGCCTGTTGCCATGACCCAAAGTCAGGAGTTTGCTTCATGTTCTGCATTAGCCGGAGTCTTTGTGTGGATACGTTAAGTCTTTTTTTGTGTGGAGCGCTATCTTCATGCAAAAGCTATTCCCCGGCAGCTCAGCAAAGAAGGTCCGGTCCCCGTTCTTGGAGAACCAACTGTGGACAGTGGCTTCACCAACAATTTCCGAAGTGTCCCGCAGAACACTGAGACACCAAGTTGATCGTTCTCGGGAAGCCAGCATGTTCTTGGATCAAATGAGATCAACATATATTAAACGTGTTCCTTCTCCACAGGCCATTGGATCATGAGTATACTACCTGGCGATCACCCAATTGGTCACCAATCGATGACCCTGAACTACTGAGACCTCCAGACAGGACACCCAGATGGTCTGAATGATCCTAGTAGTATCTTGTTTTTCGTCAATACAGACGGCCAGGGTAGAATCACTGTCCCTCATATGAGGTGGTTCAACGTCGGCGCTGTCTTCACCAGTCTTATGCGGTTCTCGCAGGTGCTGGAGAGCATCTATCAGGTGCTCAAAGATGCTGGCTGGCTTTATTTGTCTCTTGCAAGGAAAGAAGTTATGTGTCTTTTTTGCGGGGGAGGAAACCATGTTTATCCTTGCTTGATACTGTTGTTGAGCCTCCCCTGAATAGATTCCAGATTCCTTTTCTGAACTTGGTTTTCAGTGTGTGGTTCGATATAGAAATAGAGTTGTCAAGGGTTAATGAGAATCGCCAGAATCGCCATAGTAATGGAGAGAACATAGGGAACCTATTTGAAGCAATGCAACACATACATTAGTGGGTACTCAGAAGTAGCCACTTTGGGCTGGTAGATTGACAAAATGACAAAGTTGATGATCACTCTGTTCAATACCGGATGAGTTGCTTCTGAGGATTTGGAATGTACCTCTCTACTATGATTTGCCACAAGATAGCCCTTGGACAGCGATAGAGATGTCGAGATGTGCAGAGAGGTGAATTTGAGGCAAAGACGGGGGTTTGAAGTCACATAGAAATTTGCTGTCCACCCAGAGAGCATCAAGCAGACACACTGAGAGTAAGAGAGTCTTTTGAATGATGAGACTAGGGTTTGTCCTATTACCTCTTTCAGAGAAAATCATCATCCACTGGGGCCTGGTAATGGGATATACTGTACCCAAGGTGAGACTTTTTGGGGGGAGCCATGATGTGTTGTTCTCGTTGGTTGAGGAGAAGCTTCGACTCCTTTTGATTCTATAAGTGACACTGATTGTTGACCGATGTTCTTTGTGGTTTTAGATTTAACATCCGTTTTTTGTCGATTCAGGTTGTTCAGATGACAAACCATTGAACATGACCCTTTTTAGACATCGGCCAAAGCCTCAGAGCAACAGTCATACTTCGTTCAGCCCCCCAGCGGTTCATTGATGTTAATTGGTTCGCGCGAGAACCGAGTTACAACCCATGGAGACCCGAACAAAAGGACCTTCTATTGCAAAAGTACTGTTACTTGTCGGTGATCGTAGCTGGTTCATCATATTTCATCCTTCATCAAGGACCGAGTCACGAACAAGGTTCTGTTTCGGGTGGTTCATTTGCCTCCAGAATGGACCATCCGGTTGATTGGACAGGCGAAACAAAGGAAAAGCACTGGACAAACATACAACCCCTATGGATCCACTGCCACCGTACCGACCTGGTTCGGTGATGGGGATTTTTGTGGCGCCTACATCAGACTGTCTCCCTGCTCTTCACTCCTTTGGTTCGGTCTGTCATAGGGAACAATAAAAAAGAAGACGCGTCACATCGCAGGACGTCAGAAGATCTGTCACATCCACTGGAATGCTGTTTTCATGGGTCCGTCTGTCGAAAAGCCCGCCCCCCTGTTCCAGCTGGTGTTGTGTGGAGTTCAGTGTGGCAGAGTTGGATGGGTCATCAATGGTGGTATGCTAAAATATGCTATGATATGATATGTAACTTTAAAACGATTCTTCCAGTCGCATTTGGGGTCAGGGAATTCCTACATCACTTTCTTAGGATTCCTTCCGTTTAGGCTGCTTGTGCCAGGCCCGGGTTCGTTTCGGGTTCCACTGCGAGGTCAGGTGTGACCAGGTCACCACCGGAACTGCCCCCGACAGAGCGTCCGGGGGAGCGCGCTGAGTCAAGGAGCACACTATGACCTCAAAGAGCATGAGGCACTATTTCTGACTGCATTGAAGAAGGAGGTGGTCAATATCTACCATGATGCTCAGCAGAGTTCCAGAACAGAGTTCGATTCCCAAGAACAGGGAGAACATTGGGAGAACAGAGAGAGTATCCAGTTGGTTCTGATGACCATCCTTTTGGAATCGGGATAGTAAGATGTCCTTCCCGTTGGGCGTACCTTGCATCGAGTAAGATACCAGATACCAATGTCTCGATATAAATATGCCTGTCCCATCAGTGGCGAAACAGGGGAGAAACCACGTGGTTTCTCTCTTTCACTTGCTCTCACTGCTGTGAACAGTAGCATTTTCCGCTTCTTCCGTACAAGGGACCTCGCGTACGTGGCCCATTGCTTCGAGGATCAAAGTACCATGGAAGTGAAGGACTACAACTATAAGGCCGCGGGCACACGTGCCATGCAACGGAGGGAGCGTTCGTTCGAATGGCACAGCTCGGGGCGGCCATGCAAAAATGTGTCCACCACGGACCATGGCGATGAAATGCGGTCTCGGGGGTGTAGCCTCAACAGCGCCTTTCCACCTGCCCAGCGAAAGAAACGCCGGGGTGTACGACGACCCCTGGCCAGAAGGGTCCTGCCATGTCGCCAACGCGCGCTACACGAGGCGAAGAAGAGCGATATATTGAAGCTGGTGACGCCCGGTTTTCCAAGCGCTGAGTTGTATTGTTAGGGCTTCAATGAAAGAACATGCTCTAGTCAGTTAGATTCGGTGCCCTAGAACGTGAGACATGACTCATGACCCTATTCAAAAAACAGGTACGACTGTGCGCATGTTTAGAGGGACGAACTGAGACTCCAGGCAGGGTTTCAATGATGAAAGAACAACACACCCCGTGAGAACCGGCGAAACCGAAGGGGAGGACACGGTGGATTTGGGCCAATTCATGCCGGCGGGGTAAATTAGGACCCATCCACGCCTGAACAAGAAGCGGCTTGCATTCATACCCCACGCCATGGTGCAAGCCTAACAGCAATCCGTTTCTGCTTTTGATGTGTGTGTGTGCCTTGAAAAACTGTTCGGAGGCGATTCGGAGGCGCCCGAACTCGGTTTGAAAAGGGCGTGACCCCGATGAAGCCACCCTGATATGTGACGAAACACCGGTGGATTTGCCTTTGGGCATCAGCTCTATATATAGATGACGGTGAGGAAGCTCGTGTTGTTTCCTGATCAACCAGGCTGCTTTTTTAAGAAACTGCACCACTGTGTAAACACGATTTACATGGTTTGACTGTGGGTTTTGCTGTGTTTTTGTTGGATTGCTTTTGGATTAAGGTACGTTAAGCCCGGCTGTTGGGTGTCAGGTTGGGTGTTTCCTTTCCGGCCCCGAGGAATGACTTTGGCAAATTTGGCCATGCGAATCGGCCGCTCGGTGGTAACCAGGTGACCAGATGGGACTGAGAGCTTCTCCTTGCTCTCAATCTGCCAACTACCTCCCTGAGGTTTGGTCCTGGTGTTTGGAATGGATGCCAGGAGGGTGACCTAAGCACCTTCTGAGAAGGTAGGACTGGGCTGCCCTAGGGCCTGGGCTTGATGCCGGAGTCTGCATATTTTGTTGCAGGAGTTGTGCTTGGAACCTTTGGGTGATCGTTCGTCGTCAAAAACTATCTAAAAAGTTCACACGGCTGGCTTTGACGGGCTTTTTGCCTCATGTGGATCCTCAAGTGGGTTGAGTGTTATGACTGGCTTCATGCTGGTGCAAAGTGAGTCAATTTTGATAGATTTCGTCTTGATTTTTTTTCAACTGGCTTTGCAAATTGTTTTGTGCCTTCAGACATCATTTGTTGGGCAATCACTTCGAAAAAGCTCGGTGGACATTCCTCGAATGCTTGAAGCAAGTCGTAACATGTCGTAAGACTGTCTCAAAATAATACACCATGAGTATCATAATATAAGTACTATCAGTTCAGCCTTTTCAGGGGCTAGGCTATGTTATGTAAGGGGAATTTCCATGAATCACCAGACCAACATCTCAGACAAAAAGATATCCCTAGGGCTCCAACCACCTCAGAAGGTAGTCAGATCACCCTAATCCACCCCAACCATCATCGAAACGGAGGCTCCGCCAGGAGCCCACCGTCCGGGTGTTGTTGCACCGAACCCACCGTCCGACACAGTGACGGAGGGTGGGATCCCGAGCTCACGAGCTCACGAGCATGGTATGTGGGTCATGGCCTCCGGACCCCTGTTGTTGTTGTTGCTGCTGCTGCTGGTGTTGTTGTTGTTGTTGTTGTTGTTGTTGTTGTTGTTGTTGTTGTTG